CCGATGTCCAAAGGACAACCCAAGAGCAGCTATGCCGCTGCTGACTGGTCCGCCATGCCTGACTCTGCCTTGAGCTTCCTTGCTGCAGCGCTACCCCAACTGGGGCCTTCCGGATGCAGCGCCCAACAAGGTGATGAAGACGGTGCCCACCATAGCCAGGTAAGTGCCTCAACACTCTCCTACCATGCCCCTTCTTCCTCCTCCTCAAGCTGGACTGCTCGCCATAGCCAGGCTGAGCTCCAGCGGTCCCTTCTCCTCCAAGCAGCGCTGTACCTCCTGCGCTGTGCTCCAGCAGCATGTCGCCAATCCTTGCACACCGCAAATGAGGAAGAGCTGTTTGCTCTTTTTGGAGATATAGCGGCCTACTGGCCTCCTGGGTGGTGACTTCCTAGGCCGAGCGGCCTCCCAGCAACCGGTACCTCCTCCCTTTCGGAGGGAAACATCATTGCAGGCTCTGCTATCCTCCGGACAGGCCCTAGACCCGGGCTACTTGGACTAGTACAGGCCTACCTCTAACCTACAGCCTACCGGTACTGGGCCTCTAAAAACGCAAACTTTTTGTCTTCTTCTGCTCGGCCTTCAGTACGACACTCATACCACTACTCGAGTGGTACCGTCCTACCTGCTACTCAAGTGTTTCCCCCCTGCTCTAAGTGTCGCGGGCCTACCCCCCTACTTGAATGTATTTCCCCCCTTTAACCTTCACAGTCACGGCCACAGGTAAGTACTGGCCCTGCGGGGCCTTGCAAACAACAAGTACCCTTGCGGGTCACACACACTCAACCGACAAGCACACAGACAGTCATGCAAAGCAGCAGGTACGCACACACACACACAGGCATGGAAATCACAGCAAGGGGGACCTCCAGCGCACGGCCGCGGGCGCAGCCCCCGTCGTTCGCTTACCTGTCAAACGACGAAGCCGTTCGACCAGGATTCAACGGAGTTGAATCCATTAAACGGGGATTCAACTCCCGTTCAACGGGATCAACGGGGATACAACGGACGGCGTCGGAGACAAACCCCTGTTTTTTGGTTCACGTCGCCAGCGCCGCGTGCCCGGCTGCCATTGCGCGAGGTCCGTTGAACCGAGTTCAACGGAAACCGACCGTTGAATCGTTCAACGGGGATTCAACTCGGGACTTGTGCCCGTTCAACGGGTACAACGGAGTTGAAAAAATCCCGTTGCTAGTTGAATGGACACACATATGACAGGGTCGAGTCTATGCACGTTCTGGGGGCGAGGCCGCCCTCGGTTAGCCAGATCGCCTAATTAGCGTGCTATTAATCCTAAGACCCAGCCACGTGTCGGGCTTCGATACCAACCTGACGCCCAGCGCGACTTCCTGATCGGAGTGGGATGTGGGCCTGGAAGTGCGAAAAGGGGTGTGCCAAGGATTTTTGGGGAAGTGGAGTCCCAGGTCAGAACAGAGATCTCTGGTGACAGCGTCTTTCGGGGACACGAGTGCAATTTGGCGGAGAGGGCGTCTTCGGGTTACAAGGCAGATGGTGTGCGCGGTTCGCTCAAGACCGAGCGAGTCATTGGTTTCGGGGACGGTGGTTCGTTGGCGGGTCCCTTCGGGGTAGGTGGGGTTCCGATGAGTCCATCCGTCGGGAGTTGCCACGTGGTGCTGGTTGTCGCGCGTTCGGGTTAGGCCTCCGGAACTCCGGGGTTCTCTGATTGCCTCGTCGTCGGCAGTTCCCGCAGGGTGTGGTGGGCGAGTAGGGGGCTATGGCCGGCCATGGGATGACGCTGAGTTGGTGATACGGAAGAAGAAGGCGAAAGGGAGGGAAGCTGGTGGTGATAACGACAAATCCAGGGTGGATGAAGTAGTAGGTATGGTCCAGAGAAGGGAAATCAGAGCACCGGGGGTCGCTGGTGATGGCGCAATGGAATTCCCGAGGACACAGTCGGTTCTCAGTGTGGCAGGGGTATCTCTGCCTCAGGATTTCGTTTATCCAAGGGGTGAAGTAACCTGGGTCGTATGATGAGTCGGAATTCCAGGATCACGTCATTGGGTCATTGTGGTATTATGAGTTGCCTAAGGGCGGGTCCATGGCGATCGCGGTCACCTCGTGCGAGCACGTGCAGGCCACGTGAATGGCATCGGACTTACTCGTGCTCGTGCGGGACGACTGCGCCGCTGCGGATTCCGGGGCGGCCATTCCCAATCGGATAGGGCATCTGCGACCGATGGTCCTGACGAGTCGACGCCCGGGGATACGTGTAAGTGCGCAACTCAGATCGCGTTTTACACGTGTCCCCGCGCGGCGTTCGCCAAGCCCGACATCCGATCGTCTAATCACTCCGTGATGTTCTAAGCATGCAAGATGCAACAATCACAAATGGCTCGATCACAAGGCAGGCACAAACAAGGACAAAATTACCGATTGCGCAAAATTCCTATTCTACTTGCGAGTGCCTTAAATGCGACAGACAGAAGCAAAAATAAGGATTCCCAGCAGAAAGATAAACAAGCAAGCCTAGCATCCATACCTCCATACATTCCGCAATCATACACACAGTGCATCCGAAGTGGAAATCGCAAAGATAAGTGCGAGCAAAAACCCAAGCCCAAATTCTGATGAACAAGAATCGGGCAAATCTCCCAGAGCCGAAATCAAAACTTATATACACGAGACAGGAGGGAGAAAAGATAAAAAGAAACAACAACTCCGCGTCCCATCAACCTCAACTCTCTCCTCCTCTCTCTCTCTTCTCCGATGCAGACAGTCTGTCGTCGCGCACCAACCCACGAAGCCGTCACCTCGCTTAGTCCTCCCGCACCCGTCAGGTTCGCCCGCGCCCACAGTCCGTCGTGGCCCGCGTCAACCCCGCGCGTTTGGCACCAGCTCGTCAGGTCGCCCGACTCCTGCTCTACTCACCTCTTACTTCGCTCGTGTGCCGACTCTCTTTGATCGCACAATCCCGAGCTTCCAACAACTGGTTAAGAGAGTTAACTAATCGCGCAGCCGGAATTTATAGCGTCCATGCATGCGCGAAGAACACGAAATAACAAGGACCTAGAAGAAGGGAAGGGGGAGGGATTGCCTACATCTGCATGGTCTGATCGCAGCGTGGGGGACGTAGCCACTCTCCACGCATCGATCTGATCATGCAGACCGCGGCTACCAAAAACGCATCAAAAGAAAGAGAAGAAGGGCGGGAAAGACGAAGCGCAAGAAGAAAGATACAGTTACAATGGGGCCCGCCCAAAATTACAGTTACACACACGATTAAAGGTGCCTACTAATCAGAGTTTCGTTCCAGCCGCATGAAGAAGCACGTAGACAAAAAGCACCGCGCGGCAAGGAAAATCCTAATTACGAAATTTCTAAATTCCTATCTAATGCGAAGAAGCAAAAAGCACAAATTCCAGAAGAAAAGTCCGAAATTCCGAGAGCCATCGGGGCTTAACAAAATTCGTAAAAGATTTAAAAGAAAAATTCAAAAAGATTGAAGCAAATTTCTGCACGATGTTCGCGCCCAAAAGATTGAAACCGAAACAAAAGAAACGAAGTCAACATTTATTAGTCGCACGCACGGAGGCGCGCACGCCATTCGGTCAACCAATCAATCAACCGGCCGTCCTAGGAC